CCTGAGGGATCTGCCTTTTTTCCCTTCACATTTCCCTTTTCCTCCACATTTCCCCCCATTTTCCCCTCACATTTTTTCCTTTTCCTCCACTTTCTCCCCTCACATTTTCCCGCCCTTTCTTCCCCCCTCACGTTTTCCCGCCCTTTTCTCCCCTCACGTTTCCTCCATTTTCCCCTCACGTTTTCCCCCATTTTCCCCTCACATTTCCCCTATTTTCCCCTCACGTTTTCCCCCCTTTTCCCCTCAGGCCTCCGACATCTTGGCGCTCCCCATAGGGTCAGTAATGAGCCGGGGGGCAGCGACACTTGGCAGCGTTTATTTGGGGAGGGGGCACTTTTAAAGGCACTTTAATCATTGTGGCCAATTTCAGGGGATCAGTAACGAGCCAGAGACACTCAGCAGCGTTTATTGGGAAGGGGGAAATAAAAGGCACTTCTTGAAGGGATTTTGGGGAATTGGGTCTGGGGGCTTCATCCCAGCTGATCCTCGTACTGCTTGCGGAAGCAATCACCAGCCGGGAAGAAATCCCAGCAACGTTCCTGGTACATTTTCCACACGTAAGATTCCTGGGGGGAGGAATTGGGGAGGGGGCACAGGTGTGAGCTGGGAGGGGCTAAAGGAGCTCAGGTGTGAGCTGAAAAAAAAAAAACCTCCCATCGAGACCCCTCATGGGACCCTCCCCATGGGCTCCATTTTCCCCTAAAGCCCCCCCCAGGACCCCTCCCCAGCACCCCATTTCTCCCCACCTGCCCCGTGTGCTCCGTCTCGTCCTTGTTGATCAAATACATCAAGAAAAACCTGGGGTGAGGGTGAAATTTGGGGGTGTCAGAGGTCAGCAGGGACCCCCAGACCCCTCCAGGACCCCCCCAAAAATCCCCAAATCCCCCCGGATCTCACATGTAGTTGGCCAGGTTGTGCTCCTCCAGCGTGTGGGTCTCGAAGCCGTGGGGCGTGGTGTCGAAATAATCGCTCCCAATGCCGCAGATAAAACATTTTGTCTGGGGAGGGGGTCCAGGGAGGGCTCAGAGAGGGGTCTCTGCACCCCCAAATCCCAATTTGGGGGGTGTCTCCCACCTTCCTGCCCCCCCCTCCCCGGACTCACCTCCATGTCCTCCTTCACCTGCTCCTGCTGGTCCCGCAGTTCCCCGAAGGCGTCGATGATCAGACCTGGGGGGCACAAAACGGAGGGGTCAGAGGGGTGGGATCCCCCCC